TACGCTTCTCTGGGCTGACGACCATACATATACTTGCGTGCGAGGCCGAGAATGTACTCGAGTAACAGTTGCCAGCTTTTCCGGCCACCAGGCTCAGCTTCAACTTCAAAGGTCGAGGACATGTCCCTGAGCAAGATGAGAAAGCCTTTTTTGGAATCAGCTGTATGCGCTGGATGGCAACGCTACGAGATCGGACTACATTGGTAGCTATATTGTGGGAGGGCGCTTTAGTGTAACTCCTGTCTTCAGCTCAGCTTCAATGAGCAGGAATAGCTTGTTATAGCGCTGGCTTAAAAGCTTATAGGAAGACTCAAAAATAGTTTGCCTTCATCCTGACCAAAAGTTCGGGAAAAGCCGCATCAACCATCAGAAAAGCAGACTCTGCTACCAAGTAGGACAAATGATGAAGAACAAAAAGAGAAAGACGGCGAGGAGTCATCCGACTTGGCAAGGACTTGACTGACTGATTTGATTGAAAATATCTCACTCACAAATGATCCAGTTCTTCCCACTCCAGCAGAGCAGTGAACCACTATAGGCGTTTTTGACTTCCTTGTCTGATGCAGGATTCGGAATACTGCCAACAGCGATTTGGGTACGGTTTTATCTGGCCTAAAAGCAATACCACTTTCAGAAGAGAGTTCCATTACTTTATCCGAAGAAGCAGCCTCACCATGTCTTCCATCGATGATGCTTCAGAAAATGCTTTTCTGTACCTTGCTTAAGTTCGAGAGTAGTGCGAGTTACGTGAGGGTCCGAGTTGTTAACCTTTACGGCGGTTATGAAAAAATCTGAAATAATGGCTATTGGACTATCTCATAGAGTTAAGCAACCATTTTTCTAAATGTTTCTAATGGAATGAACCCTGATTCTCAAAAGATTGTAGAGGTATTCCACATTCCGAAAAAGAAATCAAAGAAAATATGCCCTAATTTGGTGAAATATTCGAAGGCGCAGTTAACGATAGGATGGTTCCTGAAATTTCTCTTCAGGATGGATCTCTGACTCCTGAGGATAGCATAGAGAACGCTGTCAAGTCGAAAAACGGTCTACTTAGAAGAGGTAGCAAGGACCCCAGAACCAACTTAGCCGACATACACACCCAGGGAGGGGCGAGTTCTCACGGTGCCGATTAGGCTCGTGAGGTCGCACCATTTGCACGAGAACGTACACGTTGCACGCAGGCAGCTTACTGTAGCCAGCTGTACCCATTGGCACATATTGAGACAGCTCGTCCAAATATCCCCTCCATGCACTTTTGTCGTCACATTCTCGTCCAGCCCCTCTTTTTATTTTCGCATTTATTTCGCCTCTCTTTATTCTGAATTATCAGCCTACTGGTTTCTCAACTCATAGCTCTAGATTTACCCAGACCGTTGCAGTCAAGTCAATACCAAGTTGTTACCATTGAATGTCAAGCTTGCACCGTTATCTTCTGGCCAGTACTGTTCGCATTTCTTCTTTCCACATTCCATTGTACTACATAACATTATTACATGCGACACCTTTTCCAACCATATCATTCTCCAAAAATCGAATATAGTCGATGGCAGAGGTCCCTGATGAAGATTATTGGAGGGAAGGTCAACCTTGATCCCAACTGAGTCGTACAAACCTGTGTACATATGTATGTGCATAATAATGGATCTCCTTTTATGTAGTTAGCATGGATGTAATCGGAACCTTTTCCATCATTTAGTATTACTCGAGTACAATCGTTACAAATCACATCTGGAAAAACTTCTTTTCATGATGGTGTTCAATGGACAATCTGGCTTTCCAGAAAGGGTACGCTTCAAATGTTCCGAGAGTGAAATCTTACGGTGGGCCGTTTGTGTCAATATGGTCAGCGGTGTGTCACGTGTTGCCCTCTAGGTCAACGCGCCTAATCTTGGTCACCCAGAGAAGCCTTCAGTAGAGAAAAATACCTTTGTATCGATTCTTTGTTGAGTTTCTATCAAATGCGTCCCTCCTCAGTGGGCAAGCAATATAGGGTTTCAATGAAGTGTTGTACTCCCTTATGAGACCGTCAATGCCCATTGTGAAAACAATCTGAATCAGCTTTCATATCGTGTTGAATAGACTATGATAAACAGAGCACAAACTTTGGCGAATCCTTCGAAAGCAGCTATTTGAGCGGCAGTAGGTACCAGTGCATCTTTGCTCTTCAAGTAGAAATTGATGGGAAGTAACCTTATTCTTATCTAATGCTACGAAAATCAGATCTTACCGACTCAGCGGAGGCATCACGTTTCTTCTTGCCTTCTCCATCTGAATTCCATCTATTTTCTGAGGGTTTGTGAGTATATCAACTTTTCAAGGATCAAGTGTGGATTGGAAGTAGTGTAGTGGCTAGTGGTACACACTATGAGATCCATGGTCTGTGGATGGGTTTTCGTACCGATCCCTTTCTAGGCTAACCGAGTATTCTATCTTAGGGTAGTTTGTGTTTATCTCCCACGAAGTTCTCATTTATAATTATTGGCTAACATTTCGGCAATATCGCTTTCATCAGAACCTGAGACATAAATTATATTAAGCTACAGTTATGCCGAGTTTATGGAAGCCTGTTCGTGGAGTCTCAGTCGCTTAGTTTCTACCAGATTCCCTTCGGAGTGAAATAGCAGTTGACTGTACTCCCACAGATCATTGTGTAAGACACTTGCGCATTTAGAACGTCACTACGCTTCTGGCACGAAGTTGAATACGAGGGCGCATCCCGAAGACTTTTTGCTCTTTACTGAATTTTCATTGGGAGTACCTGTCTATCAGGGAACTCGATCGATGACAGGAATACCAAGGGAAGAACTGTGTTCAATTTCCAAGATCATAAATTTGTTCTTACCGTCACCGACTTCCTTACTAGGGGCTTTCTTTTGTTTACGTTTCGAAGATGCCTCTGAAATCGGCCATTCAGAAATATTCATGTGTAATGTATAAATGTGAGGGTATAAGCATGTGTATGTATGTATGTATGTATGTATGTATGTATGTATGTATGTATGTATGTATATATGTATGTATGTATGCATGTGTGTGGGTATGCGTATATATGTGTACTTGTGTACGTTTATATGACAAGACGTGTTGTTTATGATAGTCCGAATATATGACATGTGTTGTGATAACCGTGTATGATATGTATGCGTGTATGTGTAACTGAGAATCCAACCTTTTGTTCCCCTGTTCTAAGAATGCTAATATCTGGTAGGACACCCGAGGCAGGATGGGAGCACTACTGACGAAAAAGGATGACGTTCGATTACCTGTATCACCTGTCGTCTCATTGGTTGTCGATTTCCTCGAGCAGGCTCACCAGGGAAGGATCCCAACTCGAAGTGGCCATTTGGAACAAGACCTATACTGCTAGACGTGTGTTTAGGCGCTGAATTCAAATCTGCTTTCCAAATCTGCCAAGCGATTCTCTGAACGGAGTTATGAGGGTGGTTTTAGGTGACATTACATGAGAAAACTTAAATTACATGGAAGCAGCTCACTCCTCGACGGCGGCTTGGTGTAGTGGTAAGCGTGACGCTTTATAGGCGAGAGGTTTTCCTTCCAGGACTAGGAAATACTGTCATGGTGATTTGGTCACGTTTTATGACCATTTGAGGCTTTGCTGATACCTTCTTCTACCTACCTACCTGTTACCGAGTGGGAAATTGCGCAAAATTTGGAGGTCCGGGCGAGTAAAACGCATATGATGAGCAATGATGTCGCTAGAGTGGGTGTTGATGCTAGATTAGGTGCGATGGTGCGTAGCAGACCCGGACTCACCTACACCGGCATTGTTGATAGTGAACTCGTGGACATCATTCAAAGACCAGAAAGCTATTCATTGCTTCTTACCTCCACAAAAGCAGGTGAAGGGAATGACACCCTGCTTGAAGCTACCACGAGGCTAATACAGCCGATAGAAGCTCATTTCTTATTTCCTCCTAGAAATATGGTTAAACGCACCATCTCATATGTAATAGCTCATGATCTCAACTTTGACGTGTACACACGAGACCCCATTCTTTGCTTACTATCGCCTGTCTTTTTCAGTTCTGGGCTGTGAAATTTAGAAAATTTCTCTTTTATTCATGGTATGCCCCGGCTACTTGAGCACTCACCCGGTGAATTTGGGACGCCTACTCAATTCTGTTTTCCTTCTGATTTGGTATTAAAGAGTGTAAAGCAATGGGCTGTGACAAGTTCTTTTTCATCCGTTTCTCCCATCGTGAAAAGTTTCTTTGTTTCAAGCATTTCGTGCTAAAGTATCACATTTGTTCATAAAGTGGCAAAAGTTGCCCTACTGTGAATCCTGCTGTGAATATAGAGTGCATGGGCATGCGAGTAAAACTGAAGTATTACTTTAAGTGGATAAATATCGGCAAAAGCCTTAAAAGGTCATGAAACGTGATAAAATCACCATGACAGTATTTCCTAGTCCTGGAAGGAAAAGTTCTATATAATGCAAAAAGTCGGTCCCCCACAAAACCTGAACCCTAGCCTTTCGCCCATGAAGCGTCACGCTTACCACTACACCAAACTGCCGTTGAGGTGTCAACTGCTTCCATGTAATTTAAGTTTTCTCATGTGATGTCACCTAAAACCACCCTCATAACTCCGTTCAGAGAATCGCTTGGCAGATTTGGAAAGCGAATTTGAATTCAGCACCCAAGAACACGTCTAGCAGAATAGGTCTTATTTCAAATGGTCACTTCGAGTTGGGATCCTTCCCTGGTCAGTAACGTCTCCATTCATCTCTGTCACGAGCTAATGTGGTTATGCAAATCGTCCTCGCTTCAGGGACTTGTGACCCAGCATTCCTTTCATTCATAGCTTTTGTGAAGAAGTCTGACCATCTTTTTGGAGGCCGTCATGGTGTTCGATTGACGTCCCGAGGGATCCTATTCGTAACCGTCGTAGTCCAACGGTCGTCACTATATCGCACAACGTGTCTGACCTACGTGATCTTCCATTTCTTGGCGTTATCAATGGATCCCTGGTCTTCGTTCAGTGTCGGAGCTCGGCACTCCGGATTCCGTTCTGCGCTTGCGCGCATCGGGAAATTCCGGGCCTCGTCCACACCAAAACGCATTGAGTATTACTGACAGCTTGCTCATCCTGCTTTTATAGAGTTTATGTCTCCGAGGCATACGTCAAAGCAGGAATGACAGCACTATCGAAAAGATGGGCGCGGAGCCGGATAACTTTGGGTCTCTTTACTACCCCCTTGATATTTTTGAATGCTCGGTCGTTGAGATCTAACTTCTTGTACAGGAACATAGTCTTGCTGGTTTTCCACGAAGTGGGCACTTTACATTCCGACAAGAACCGCGTAAAGAGCCTTGCCATAGTTCCGGCGATAAGCGGTGGAAGACTCTTTAAATGTTCCGGTTTGATCCTATCAGGACCGGGTGCCGTGCAATTATTCGTCGACATGATGGCATGTCAAATTTTGAAGTGAAGTACCGATGGAGCGATACATCGTCTTGCCTAAGATGGTGAGTAGGTAGGTAGACGTGGCAGTCGAAGAGATCCGAGTGGAAGTCGTAGATGTCCTTATCCCCTGCCCTTCGAGTTGCAGTAATTGTTCCGACAGGGCGACAAAGGAAGTCATTTCGGTCCTGTGATTGGCGAAACTTTGCGAGTGCTCGTTCCGTCCTCTGCGGCTTCTTTCATAACTGCTACTCTCCTCTCTTCCAGATCTTCCTTCATCGCTTCTCTGCATAGCTTTGCAAGTTCGAACGTTTGTTGATAAGCTGCAGCTCGCGCGATTCCACGCTGTCCTATCAGCTCGGTAGTCTTTGAAGAGAGTTGTGTCTTGGCTACTTTTATACTTTCTGCCCTCCTAGCACTATCATGGAGCTGTTCGACGAGCCGGTTGTATTTTTCATCTTTGTTCTCGGTTCACTTCCCATTCTTCCCATTTACTCGTAAGGGAAGCTAAGTGTTCCAGTTTATGGAGATCTTGGGGCTTCGTTTCTAAACTTCACAGCTCTCCCTCTCCCAAGATGCAGAATCTAGTGCGGAGGAGACGATGGTCTGATTCCGTGAAGAACTCCGGCGTCAGTCAGGCAAAACCTCCGATTTAGGATAATGTGGTCTATTCCATTGTGGAACTGTCCACTAGGTGACTCCCATGTCCATCGGGAATGAGAGGGTAACTGGAAGAGTGAGTTACCATGGATAGTCTTGGTCGACATAATAAACACAACAGCCTTTCACCCTGCTCTTCCATTCTATTCCGTGAGTCCTGATGTGGAGCTCTTCAGACTTTCTTCTGTGGCCACTCTTGGTATTGAAATAGCCGACGATGGCCTCGAAGAAAGTATGATCTTTGTGTAGAGCCTCTTCAGATCCGTATAGAACGCTTCCAACTCCTCTTCGTAGCTTGATGTTGGTGCGTAGGCAACGAAGATGGTTAAAGCTGAGGTTGAGCCTCATTTTCTTCCGATTTGGGTTGTTAAGCTTTCGTACGAATCGATGTCCATGGCGAGGGCGTCTGACGAGAAACCTACGTCTCTACTGTCGCATGTTTTTGGGAACGTTCTTCTCCAATCTCAAAGGTAGCGTGTAGCGGGCGATGCTCTCTCGTCTCAGTCAAGCTGATGACGTCGTGCTTGATCTTCCTGGCTTGCATACTCAGATCTTCTATACACGCTTCCGATGCAATCGTCCGCGTGTCAAAAGTACAGATCATCATTTTAGACATTCTCTTTTTGAGCAGCCTGTTTTGGCTCTGTGTTTTTGGCGGCCTCTTCCGAGCGGTCCTACCCAACGCTGCTTTTTGGG